AATAGGCGTGTCGACAGGGTAAAAAAATCAAAAAAGTAATTAGTCCGTCATTAAGATCGCACGAAAATATCAGACACGTATTTTTTGTTTTATCAAATTAACAGAAGAATACGTAGTTATTCCGCATTAAAGTTAGGGAGTGGGGGGTGTTGACGTCACACTTACGGAGAAATCGTACCTAATTGTGACGTCACGCGTCATTTTAACTCAAAATATCTACATGTTTTTTTGGATACGAGAAAAAAGAAAAAATACGTATCGAAGATTTTAAAAATATCTAAAAGACGGACAAAAAATTAAAAAATAGTCGCCATGCCTATTGTGTCTATAATGACGGTACTCGACGAGTTAAACTGACGATTTTATATTGTATGATTTCAGTGGGAGGTCACGACGCGCGGGGACTGGCGTTTTTAGTCTTATGGAACAATCAATTGACTAGAAATTGTGCACCATATCTCAGTAAAGCGGTGGTGAGTATATTATTTACTAGCGACCCGCCCCGGCTTCGCACAGGTGCAATACACATGTATTGTACATATAAACCTTCCTTAAGAATCACTCTATCTATTTAAAAATCGAGTATCAAAATCCGTTGCGTATTTTTCAAAGTCAAAGTCAAAGTCAAAGCATTTATTTCAATTAAACCATAGTTTGGTACTTTTGAAACGTCAACAAATACAAAATAAATAATAGTCTGGCAGTCAGTCCGTCAGTGAAGCTAGGTGAAGGAAACCAGATTGTCTACATTAGAATTAAAGTATTAAATTATGTATTATATTACCTACTATTGGAATTTAACTACTGACTACATTTGAGTATTGAATTGAATCAAGATCTAAGCATACATAGGCACAGATAGACGGCGGATAGCGACTTTGTTTTATACTATGTAGTGATGTTCGATACCTGTGTGGCGATACAGGACACATATAGACTATCGATGCAAAACAAATCAACGCATGATGTCAAAAAATCCTACATCGCACATGCGAAGTTTATGTAAACGAGCAGACGGATCACCTGATGGTAAGCAATCGGCGTCGCCCATGGACACTCAAAACATCAGAGGCGTTGCAAGTGCGTTACCGGCCTTTTGGGAATTGGGAATTTGAGGATTGTTGAGGATTCAGGAGTTGGGGAGATTGGGGAAGGGGAGGGTAATTGGGCATCCGGTAACCTCATTCACATGACGAAACACAACGCAAGCGTTGCTTCACGTCGGTTTTCTGGTCGTTGGTGGTATCATTCCGGTCGAGCCGGCCCAGCAGTGCCGAAGCATGGCTCTCCCACTGTTTGAGAGTCCAGGGTAATATTAATAATTTTAAGGGTTTTTATATAAGATGTTATAAAGAGAATAAAATAAAGATCTGTTGACGGATAGAACGCATGTATTCAATTGGAAGAAAAACAAAAGATAAAGAAAAAAAAACATCAAATTTGGAACATAAAAAATATTTTTTTTTTTTCAAAAAACGTTGTCCCACACTAGGATTTTCTCCTGTGTCGTGGGTGCGTTTACAAACATACAAGTTCACATACACAATGACATCCAGAGTCGAAACAACAATTTGTGGATCACACAAAGTGTTGTCCTGTGCGGGAATCGAACCCGCGACACGTTGCACGGCAGCCGGTTGCCCAGCCACCGCACCAACCGTGCGGATACAACAAATTATAATAATAAACTTCACGAATGAGGTGACGCAAAAGAGTTTTTGGTCGAACACTGACATTTATTGTAAGCGAGTGTATGTCGGTGTGCAGCGCTCGAGCCCGTCGCTGTGCGTGCTGAACGTGGGCCGCAACGCGCTGGGCGGCGAGGCCGTGCGCGCGCTGCCCCGCGGCGCCGCGCTCGCCTCGCTGGGGCTGCAGGCCGCGCGCCTGGCGCCAGACGCCGCGCCGCCGCTGGCCGACCTCATACGGGCCGACACCAACTTACAGGTCACTTTGTTTACTATTCCCTACTTCCATAATCAAAAATAAATTATTGTGTCAAATACAATATATAACTGACGAAACGAATTATACTGACCTATCCATAGAACTCAAAACACAATGGAACATCACCCACACAAAATCATTTTGTCCACCACAGGGGTCATCCCAAAACTCTCCACAATAGCTTAAAGTCTTTAAATATTAGTCCAGCAAATTATCTTCTTCTACAAAAAGCAGTAAATTTAAATACGTGCCGCCTAACTCGAAAGTTCTTAAATTCATAGTTTTATCTCAATTTTATTAACGCACTTGGCTTCGGCCCGTGCTTTAGAACCCCACTAAGATGGGAGAAACATAAAATATGACAAGAAATAATAATAATATTTTTACGTGTAATAATTACATTGTTTCGGCAGGTGACATAGTCATCCATAGTTCCCAATTTCCCAGTCCACAGCAACACATCCATAGCCCTACCTTTTTTCCATTATTCACAATAGTTTTACACTAACCGGGGACTGGGTGTTTACTCTTGAAACCAATCTCAATGTCAATGCAATTCCAATCCAATAAAATCTCAATAATTATTCAATGTCAACACTATACAACCCCTATCGTAGCTGTTACAATAGCATTCAGAGTACGGAATATAAAGACAAACTCAATACTCAATAGTTCATTCAATATCCACGCAATAAGGATGCAATGGGCGCTAGTGTTGCAACAAAAGAGTACGAAATTTCACAATACCAATGTCGATCGATCGGAATTGGATTCATGAGTAAGCTCCCTGTCCTTGGGTGCATTCCCATAGTGCATACAGGGATAGTCGCCGGTTTTTGTGTCCATTACATTTATATTAAAGTTGTCTAAAGGGCCTCTGCGCAGTTGGCTTCGGCCCCTCGTACGCCTCCCAAATGACCGGGACCCTGTGGTCCCGTGAATGGTAAATACATCTATATAACTAAAAAATAATTTCCGTTCGTTAGTCTCGCTGAAACTTGAGAACGGCTGAACCGATTTGGTTAATTTTGGTCTTGAAATGTTCGTGGAAGTCTAGGGAAGGTTTAAAAGGTGAGAAAAGCTTTTAGGCGGTACGAAGTTTGCCGGGTCTGCTAGTAATAATATATATGTTTATATTTACAGCGATTAGATCTCCGCGAGAATCGACTGGGCGCGGCTGGTCTACAGTTACTACTGAACGCTATGAAGGACAACTCCACGCTCACACAAATTGATCTAGACGAGCCGCCTAACCAAGTATGTATACATTTTAAAACATTACATAACATAACATCACGCCTTTTTATAGCAGAGGAGCACATTACAGCACTTAATGCCACTGTACAATGTAACACCCACTTTTCACTATTTATGTTATGAGTCCCATGTAATAGGGGGTGAGTCTATTGCCGTATACCGGGCACATTTCCAGACTCCGTGCTAATCCTGAGATTTTTAAAGACCCAATAATACTTTTCTCGACCCGGGAATCGAACCCAAGATCCCTTTTTTTTATGGCATAAGCCGGTAAACGAGCAGACGGATCACCTGATGGTAAGCAATCAGCGTCGCCCATGGACACACGGAACACCAGAGGCGTTACAAGTGCGTTTGGGGAATTAGGAGTTTGAGGATCGTTGGGGATTCAGGAACTGGAGGGATTGGGCCTTGCCCGGCAGTCGCACTTGCGACCACTCGGCCAACGAGACAGGCAACGATTATAAAAAAACATTTTCAAGTAGAATACTAGCTAGCCCAGATTCACCCGCTCTGTTTGATTCCTATTTATCGTAGCATGATGATTTATAGCCTTTTTTCGCTTTGTCGCGCGACACAAAGACGTGGGGCTAGGTTTTTTAAAAAACAAAGAAAAAAATTAAATGTATTACGAATTGAACAAAACACAAGAATGCATCTAACAATGTGATCGAGCACTGTTTGAATTTGATTAGATTTACAATATAGAAATATCTTGTAGGAATCCTCAACTCTCCTCGCGGAGGACTCGGAGACGGCACTAATCCGTCGCATCACGCGCGAGATCCGAGCGGCCTGCACTCGCAACGTGGCGGGTACCACAGACCCGGCGCACGACACGGCACTGCCACACGACGCCGCGCTACATCGGAAGATCAGTCTCACCTGTCATACTGCGTGTTTGATAAGGGTATGTACTCATTATATATATCTTACTAGCTTTTACCCGCGGCTTCGCTCGCGTCACAAAAGGATAAAAAGCCAATGTGACATCCTTACTAATATTATAAATCGGAAAGTGAGTTTGTTTGTTTGTTTGTTCCGCTTTCACGCCGTAACTACTAAACCGATTGCTTTGAATTTTTGCAGACGTAAAGTTAGAGTTCCGGATTAAATAATAGGGTACTTTTTATCCCGGAAAAATGTGATATTCCCGAGGGAAAACAAAAGTATTGGTATAGATGGCGCTGTGTGTATTGGTATATGTCACATAGGCTACTATTTATCCTTTTGTGACGCGAGCGAAGCCGCGGGTAAAAGCTAGTATATCAATACACACAGCGCCACCAATACTATTGTTTTCCCTCGGGAATATCAAAATTTCCCGGGATAAAAAGTACCCTATTATTTAAACCGGACTTCTAACTATACATCTGAAAAAAATCAAAGCAATCAGTTTAGTAGTTACGGCGTGAAAGCGGAACAAACAAACAAACAAACTCACTTTCCGATTTATAATATTAGTAAGGATTATTACTTCAAAAAAGGAGGAAGTAGTATGTTCGGGTCATTTTTACCGACTTCCAAATAAAGACGAGGTACTATGTACGATTACTCCGCCATTTGTGAACCGATTTCCAAAATCATTTTTTTACTAGGTCAGGATCTGATGATGCAATCTTAGGGAATCCTATTGTAGGTAGTAATGCGTCTATATTTTTTATAAAGTTTTTTTAAATACTACAATATGGTAAGGGTCTGTCTGGAGTCGACCTGATGATGCAACGCGCGGATAGTCGAGAGAACTCCTCAACGGTTTACAGTAACTACCTTGTGTTTTGAGCTTGTATAGTTTGGGATGATTAGTATTTTGCGCCTATGTGGATTATAATTGTACTAAATCAAAAAATGAAATAATAAATCTAAATAAATAAAGAAAAAATCTAAAAAGTAAAAATGAATACTTATATAAAACTGTATATAAAATGAATACTTATATAAGACTGCCTCGTTGGCCGAGTGGTTGCGAGTGCGACTGCCGGGCAAGGGGTCTCGGGTTCGATTCCCGGGTCGGGCATAGTATTATTGGGTTTAAAAAAAAAATCAGTAGTATCACGGAGTCTGGAAATGTGCCCGGTATATGGCAATAGGCTCACCCCTATTACATGAGACTCATAACATAAATAGTGAAAAGTGGGTGTTAATTCTGAGTGCACCTCTGCCTACCCCTTCGGGGATAAAAGGCGTGATGTTATGTTATGTTGTTATATAAAACTGTGTTTTTAAAAACCGACTTCAAAAAACTAAAAAGCAAAAAGTAACTAGGTATTATTAGTATTGATAGGTTATTCACCCACTGGTGGGTGAGAATTTGGTGCTATAAGTTGTAAAAAATATTCATTAAACTGTCAAACACCAAGCGGTCACCGGTGACCGCAACCTATTGTTCTATAATTGTGTCTATAATGACGGTACTCGACGAGTTAAACGTCAAGAGATACCTAAGACATTTGTATTGAACGCGTGAGCTAGCGAAATTGCACCTTGTTGCTTAGAAAAAGTGTCGCTATTTAAATGAGTTGTTTTGCGGAGTGATGGTTCTGTGGTTATTCTCTGCTAATGTCCCGTCCCCCCTTGCAGCAAGGCCTGGGTGGCGGCGAGGAGGAGCGGCGCGTGCGGCTGCGGTCCCCTCCCCCGCCGGCAGCCCCGTCCCCGCGCCGCACCCCACCTCGCGGTTCATGGTGAGTACTTGTTGACATAATAATTAATAAGTGCGATATACATAATAGTGTAGATGCCTAATTTTTATCTTTAACGTCCGTCTGGTAGATTGTTTTAAAACATTAGACACGTATTTTTTATTTTCTTACAGAAACGAATACGTTCGACGGTATATTGATTTGAAATGTCGCGCGACGTCACTTCTATGTACATTTTATATGTAGAAATGACGGTTTAGCCCCCACTCCTAAACTTTGATTCGTTATACCTAAGTATCATTTTATTATACAACAAAATAAAAAAATACGTGTGTAATATTTTTTCATTACCTAACTGACGGACTAATTAGATTTTTAATTTTCATACTGACTAATGACATGACTGCACGGTTGGTGCGGTGGCTGGGCAAACCGGCTGCCGTGCCACGTGTCGCGGGTTCAATTCCCGCACGGAACAACACTTTGTGTGATCCACAAATTGTTGTTCCGGGTCTGAGTGTCATTGTGTATGTGAACTTGTATGTTTGTAAACGCACCCACGACACAGGAGATAATCCTAGTGTGGGGCGGCGTTTTTTTTTTAAATAAAAAAAAAAATACCCTGTTATCATCCCAATTGTATGTCATGTGGTGAGAAAAATAATCGTAAATCCCCATAGCGTTTACCATGCTTATTGTATGTGCAGGTGACTCGTGTGACTCCGGAGCGAGACTCGTCAACAGACAGCAATGGTTCCTCCTCCTCCGCGTCCTCCACCCCGACCAGGCTCGCATACTGTCCTCCGTCGAGGTTCCGAGTCGTACAGGTAACGTACCATCTCACTAATGACAAAACGGAGGAAATGTGTATGCAGATATATGTACATATAGAAAACTAGCGGACCCGACAGACGTTGTCCTGCATATCCACTTCGAAGGGTTACAGACTATTTGGTTTAAGCGACATTTTGGGCGATATTGAGTTATATATTCGGAATCAGCGAATTTTTCTCCGTCGAATATAAATATAATAACTCAATATCGCCCAAAATGTCGTTTAACTCGTCGAGTACCGGTTTTGTAGACACAATTATAGAACAATAGGTAGCGGTCACCGGTGACCGCTTGGTGTTTGACAGTTTAAAACAAATAGTCCGTTACCCCTCGACTTGAATGTATAAACAAAAATTCGTTCAAATTCGTTCAGCCGTTTTATAAACTAGACTGCATCGCCATCTGCCGGGCTGATTTGTGAATCTAAACCATTCAGGGCGCCACTTAAACGCGTACAGAAAAATTCATTTAAATCGGTCAAGCCGTTTAGGAGGAGTTTAATGACATATACACGTACAACAGAATTATATATATCGAGGGGTAACGGACTATTTGGTTTAAGCGACATTTTGGGCGATATTAAGTTATTATATAATTATGTTCGACGGAGAAAAATTCGCTGATTCCGAATATATATATAACTCCATATCGCCCAAAATGTCGCTTAAACCAAATAGTCCGTTATCCCTCGATATATAAAGATAACCTATTGACTTTTGGACTATTGTAAGGTCTATTGGAATCGGCCAACGTGGCAAGAGTTGAGGCGTCATGCACCCATAAATGGACATTTTGTACTTCAAACCCCTACAAAGTCAAAGTCTAAGTCAAAGCATTTTATTTCAATTAAACCATAGTTTGGTAGTTTTGAAACGTCAACAAATACAAAATAAATAATAGTCTGTCAGTCAGTCCGTCAGTGAAATTAGGTGAAGCTAGGTGCTCATTCCAAAACGTAGATTCGAATGGAGAAGAACGAGCAAGAAACACCATTCGTTACTCTTTTTAAAAAAAGTATGTTCTACAATGTCTCTGATACATATTTCTACAGTTTTGAAGTCGGTTAATTAATGTATTTAGTACATTCAACTATAAATATAACAAATACTTTTCTAAATTAAGTAAAACTGCGGGTTACTTACGTGAATATACTGAGAAAAGCTCTACTAGTTTCGAACCACAGAGGGGTTCTTCCTCATGAGCAGCGTGTGCGGTCGCGGCGATGTCGCGAAACTAGTAGAGCTTTTCTCAGTATATTCACGTGAGTAACCCGCGTTTCTACTTAATTTAGTATGTCTCACGATAGTTATTAGAAAAAATAATTTTCTGTGTAAATCGCATCAAAGACTGGTTCAGCCAATCTCGAGATAATACAGGTCAAACTGAGAACGGACCTCACGGTTTGCGTGTTGGTTTGGTAACTGCCACGCAACGTGTCGCGGGTTGGAAACATCTCTTTGTGTGATTCACAGATTGTCGTTCCGGGTCTGGGTGTCATGTGTATGTTTTTTTTTTTATGGCATAAGCCGGTAAACGAGCAGACGGTATCACCTGATGGTAAGCAATCGGCGTCGCCCATTGACACACGGAACACCCGAGGCGTTACAAGTGCGTTACCGGCCTTTTGGGGATTAGGAGTTTGAGGATGGTTGGGGATTGGGGAAGGGGAGGGTATTTGGGCCTCCGGTAACCTCACTCACGCGACGAAACACAACGCAAGCGTTGCTTCACGTCGGTTTTCTGCTCAGCCGTGGTATCACTCCGGTCGAGCCGGCCCATTCGTGCCGAAGCATGGCTCTCCCACACTTAAATGTGTATTTGAACTTGTAAGTTCACACTTTCTCTTTTTTAACTTGTAAGTAAAAAAGAGAAAGTGTGAACCTCAGTTTTATTGAAATCGGTTAATAAGTAATGTCTCTTGTCCCCAGGTCCTAGAACCACCTCAAATACAAGTGCACCCAGCGTCCAGTCAGCCTAGAAAATCTCCATCACGGTTTTCAGTGACCAGAAATTACGATTCGGTTTATAACCCGAATCCAACGCCACCGAACAGTCCGGCGCAACCAACTCTATACACTCAACTACAAAACGATGTCGTCACACAATTAAAACACGAAGCTAACGTTAGTGCTCAAGCGAAAAATTTAACAGACGTTAGCGCTCAAGCGAAAAATTTAATTGACGTTAGCGTTCCAATGAAAAATTTAATTGACGTTAGCGTTCCAATGAAAAATTTAATTGACGTTAGCGGTCATGGGACAAATCTAACAGACGTTGGCGCTCAAGCGAAATGTATACCAGTTACCGCTACTAGTCAGAAAAGCGAAATCAATGTTAACGCTGAACAGAAAAAGGAAGCCACTGTAAGCGCTCAACAGAATAAATTTGTAGAAGTTACCGCTCAACCGACAATCGAAGTCAGTGTAAGCGGTCAACAAAAAAGCGCTCAAGAGAAAAATTTAACAGACGTCACCGCTAAACAAATAAGCGAAGCTGTTATAAGCGGTGAACAGAAAAATATTCCTCATACGAGTGCTCAAGAGATAAAATTAACCGGAGTTAGCACTGAACTCAAAAATGAAGACAAAATTGAATTTATTGAAGTGTCGACTAAAGATAATGTTCAAAGTAAATCAGAAATACATAACGATGTACATACACAAATCAAACATGATATAGATATCAAACCTAAGAAGATAATAACTACACAAGTAAGAAGCGAAGCGATGAAACAATCTAAGAATGAATCTTCAAAAGAAATTAACCCAAGCGATCACAATGCAACTGAAACGACGAAAAATCTAGTTACAACGCAAATTAGTCACTATCCCACTCAAAATAAAGCGGAAATCGACGATAAATCTAAATTCGGTATCAACAAACATTCAGATTTAACTGATACAGCAATGTTCAAAAATATTGTTACGACACAAGTTCAGAAAGAGCAAATAATACAGAAAAATGATGATTTTAAAACGCAAAATCAAAATTTAGAGACCAAATCTCTAATCGAAACGGATTTGGCTAAAGAATTAAACAACGTATGTCTTATAATGGGTAAAAGTAACATAAGTGAAGTCGATGAAACTATATCAAAGGAAATCGACAACAAAGTTGGTATTAAAAATATACCGATTAGCAACATAACAGTATTCAGAACTGATATTGGTGTCAAGCCTGACAAACAATCAACAATACCAGTTACTCTTGAAGAAAAATCTGTAACTGGAGAGAAGTCTAAAAGAGATTCAGACGCAACGAAATACGACACAGTATCAGAGACCCAAGACGAACATGCAAATAGAAAAACAGAGCTTCCTACCGAAACTTCGGTTAAAAATACAAGGACACACAAAGGCGAATCGAGTAAAACAAAGACTTCACCGTCGCAATCTATTTTACCGAAGCCTTGCATAGCAACTATAGAAGAATCCCCTGAAAACGACGACGTAGACATAACTGATTCCGGAATGAAAACGAATGATACAATAAAAGAGAACAGTAAAAACGATGAGTGTATAAAAACAGATAAAGAACACGTTGAAACACGTGTTCCGAGTGAAACAAAACCAGATGTGATAACTAGTATTAAACCACAATATAAAAGTGAAATTAGTTATAGTGAAGTGTTAAAAAGTGACAAAAAAACCAAAGTGTTTAACGACCAAACTAGTAGACATAGTGTAAATCAATCTAAAATAGTGAATAAAAATAGTGTAACTCAAAGTTTAGTACCTGTCGATAGCATTATATTAAAGAAGAATAAAAGTGAGTCCAGTTTGGACAGTCCAGACTTAGAAGTTTCACGATTTATGGGTAGCAATATTGAAACTAGTGTGTTTGATAGTAACTCCTCGCTAGAAATCTCTGGGAGCTCTATGGAGAGCTTGAATGAACAGAAACCTATTCAAGAACTAGATAGAAGAAAAGTTGGGGCGCTCTCTAATGAAGGGAGCCTTGAATCCGGGAGCGAAGTTACCCCTGTTAACAGCGGAAACTTCCTCAACCTATCCGTCAGCTCGAATGAAAGTGTTTCGCCAATATTTGGGAAGACCAAAGTCATTCACGACTCCTTATCGAGCTTAGAAGCCAGTGTCAGCTCTTTAGACTCGAAGGACAGGGTGATGGTGACGTCAGCTGATTCTGGCATAGAGTACTCACTGCAGCACCCTACTGAGAACAAAGAGGACAATTCCTCCAACGAGGGTACTCTAACAAACAATTCCAGTTTAAAGGAATCCATCAAAAAACCTGAAGCTTTCCATTTAGTCGACAGCGCTTCGCCTAAGCGCACGTCTAGTTTGTTAGACGTGCCCGCGCTAGAAAATAAGGGTATAAGGGATCGGATTAGAAAGATTTCCTGGGTAGCACCCTCACCCAGCTTCCATATACCCCGTCCAGAAGAAAAAGAAGCGAAGCCATCTCATCTAGAGAAGCTTCTAAGTATATTCCAGCACCCAAGCTCAATATTTTCTAGAAGCTTAACGACTGACGATGATAAAAAGGTTTCGAGCACACCTCCAAGAAGAGATCTGTCTCTATCTAGCTCTTTCTGGTCTTGGGGCTCAGCGGTAGAGAAAGAAAGAGAAGAAGATAGTTCAGAAGCTACAGACTCGACACTGTCAGAGAGAGTGCAAGTCTCATTCGTAGACGAATCGTTCTCAAAGAAACTCGATTCGAAGACTCCTTCAACGGACACAGATAATACATTGAGCGAGTTCCACTCGTTCCCAACACATGAAAGCGAAGTAGATGAAAAGGTTACCCTGACCACCGAAGATATTATAGTACAAAATATAGATTTAAGCGTAATTAATAATACTAGGAAAGAAGAAAAAGATGATAAGGAACAGAGGCCAAGGTCTTTCGCGGCCGTTCTAAAGAGTTCAGGCTCAGAGAACTCCTTAGAAAAACAAATTAATAGTGAAAACGGACAACCAGTCGACAAGCTACCCAGTAAAGTGATTCGAGGCATCAAAGAGAATATAAGCCCAGAAAACACATTGACCTCAAGCATGTCCAACACAGAAGCGTTGGCGGAAGAACTAGAGAAACAAGTGCGAATTTCGGCCGTCAGTATATGGGATCCAAGTAAAATTGAGCCCAAAACTGATGATGTTAAAGCCCCAAGTGATTTGGCACCGATAGCGACCATTGAAGAAACTTTAGATGAAGACAATCCTCTACAGTTAGCGTATATAGATGACAAATTAGATGAATTGAATATAGAGAACCGAGTTCTGGACTCTGATAAACAATCCAAGTCTACAGAGATTGATTTGGGCAGAGACGCACTTTCGTACTTGATTTACGAAAATAGAGATTTCGAAATAGGGTCCGAAAGCGTAGTGAAGACTACAGCACAGCAGGGGTCTTTAGCTGAAGAATTGAAAGAAGCTGAAATCAAAGAAATATTAGACTTATCCCCTGAATTAGTTATCGACGAGAATTTACAAGAGAATGTCTTCACGCCCAAAGAAATTATCGGTTTGCGGACATCACCAATAATACCGGAACGGGCGAAGCTTAAGAAATCTAATTCATTGGAGAATTTGCCGCAGTGTTCGGACGATAAGAGTCCGAAAACTAAAACTATTGCTTTTAAAGTACCAGAGAGTACTACGCCGAGAGATATACCTGAACGTAGATCAAGATTGAGGACACGAAGTGGTTCCAGTCCAAAATCTTTACCAGAGAGCTTAAACAAGCCTTGCCCGTTGACTAAAATGGAGTCCATTTTGAGTAAGAAGAAAAAGAAGGTGTCTTCTTTAGGGAAAATAGCTAAGGATTCTCTCCTCGCATTGAACATGAGTGAGGAGGAGATAGCGGAGTTCAGAAGGTCATATAAACTGACATCTGTTGAGAGTTTGAAATCGCTAGAGTCAGTTTCTGAGAGCGGCAACTCGGTGGACTCCCGATGTAGGGCTTGTTTGAGGCAGTCCCAAGAAAGTTTGATGTCTTTGGATTCCATATCTGAAGATTGCCGATGCACAGATGATTGTGAACGACCCGGTATGTCGGGAAGATAAATTGTATCAAGTTTTCTAAAATATATTACTTAATAAATCACGTGAATTATAGAACTTAGGCAGTTGTCTCACCGGCAACGATGAATACCTAACGAGTAGAGTTAGAATGGGAAACGAGTTGGTGACTCGCGGGGAACTAGTGCGTATAGTTCCGATAGTTATTCCGTATAGTCCGTATTAATTCGCATGTAAACACCACATGTGGGATGTAGGCTTTTGTGACGTCATCCGTTAATTTGTTTTCATTGATGGTCTATGTGCATGAGCTGTCATTTGACATGACACACGTCAAATGTCACAAGACAGGAGACAGTCAGCGATCAACTATTCATATATGCATCTCTTTTGTTTATCTTGTCTATTATGAGCGAGAAAATAGTCCATAGTTAGTCGTTTTCTCGTCAGCGGTGGGACAAGAGCCTTACGATCGAACTTAAACGTCGCTAAATTCTAAGGCGCTCTCATCAATACTTCTGCCAATACAATATTTTTTAATAAAATGACAGGGATGGCACAACTTAAAATTTAGTTGCGTTTCAGTAGGGCTTTAGCCGATTCGGAGTCGCGGAGAACCTAACGGGTAACCGGGGCTCCGGCTCGACGTGCAGGAGAAGGAACGGGGTGGTTTTTAGTCAGTAAGAGTCTGACACTCCCTCCCGCCTCACCCAGGTGGGAGCAGTCATTCGATGATTTTCCCCCCTTAAAAAAAAGGCCCTATTTGCATGAGTGTTTAGAACGCGCGTTAAGAAGCGTTTGATTAGAAATACCGTTGTTTATAATGTTCATAATATATGTCAGTGATTTTCAAACGCGGCGCTCTCATCGATCACTTTTGTAATTTTAACGCTGGGAGATAAATAAATAATTTAATGTCAGACACAGTCCGTACAGCCAAATAATAATTGATGAAGAAAATAACTAATAACAAACGTAATAAAAATTAAAATAACGAATACAACTAAATATAAAAGTCATACTATTACATACATAGTATAACAACACGCCTTTTATCTCCGAAGGGGTAGGCAGAGGTGCACACAGAAGTAACACCCACTTTTCATTATTTATGTTATAAGTCCCATGTTATAGGGGGTGAGCCTATTGCCATATACCGGGCACATTTCCAGATTCCGTGCAACGACTGAGATTTTTTTTTAAAAAGCCCAGTTATACTTTGCTCGACCCGGGAATCGAACCTGAGACCCCTTGCCCAGCACACTATTACACACTATTAACTCGTCGAGTACCGTCATTATAGACACAATTATAGAACAATAGGTTGCGGTCACCGGTGACCGCTTGGTGTTTGACAGTTTAATAAAAAAACAAAACTGAACAATGTAAAAAGTAACAATATAATCAAATCCATTGGAGAATTAGACACGCTACCCGCCATGCGTGATTGGACCATACAGAGATCGAGAGATTATCGATGTCTACAGCCCCATCACGATATCCATCCATTTCCATTGGACTGGACAATCCGAACGTGAAGCAATCGTCATCTTCAATAAAGACTACATTGCAACGCTACATTTTGACGCGATGTTGAAAGCCTCTGCGACTCTGTTCCACTCATCAATAAGATTCCCGTGTTAACTGGAAACTAGTTGAACTTTTCTCAAATAATAACGAGTACACGTGAATTACCCAGTTTTTTAAATTAATTTAGTATTTCTTACTATACTTGTTATACAACAATACGTCGTGAAATCTATTTCGTTTTAGGCAGGAGTAGGAAGGGATTGCACTTCCTACTCCTGCATAGAGCCGAAGCCACGACAATCCGCAATATATATATATATATATATATATATAAATCGATAATATCGTCGAACATTTTTGTTACAGTAAAATAATTTAAAATGCGTGTCTAACGCTTCAAATTAATCTACCTGGGTGCTTACTCTTGAAACCAACCTCAATGTCAATGCAATTTCAATCCAAAAATCTCAATAGTTACTAAATGTATACAACCATAATTGTAGCTGTTAAAATAGCATTCAGAGTACGGAATATAAAGCCAAACTCAATACCATTTAGTTCATTCAATATCCACGCAATACGGATGCAATAGGCGCTAGTGTTGCAACAAAAGAATATGAAATTTCACAATACCAATGTCGATCGATCGGAATTGAAATCTAGAGTACGCCCCGCGACGGCCATTGAAGATATTTAGTCTTTCTGTACGTCGGTATGAGTTTGTTATACCCTAACGCAATCGACACGTTTATGACGTTCGGTGCCTCGATTGGCCAGCTCCAAAATAAACAACCAATCAAACAACCAACCAATCAAACGTTTCCGCCGCCAACGCACACAAAACGCAATGCCTTGCCGAGCGCTAAGCTATAAATGTATAACTAAATATACAGTAAACAGTAGTGATGGGGATATCATCATATCGATGAATAAGATTTGTACGCATAAAGTTAAGATTGGAATAAATAATAAAATGAAATGAAGCTTTTAATCTTTTAATGAAGCTTTTTGACTGCACGGTTGGTGCGGTGGCTAGGCAACCGGCTGCCGTGCAACGTGTCGCGGGTTCGATTTCCGCACGGAACAAGACTTTGTGTGATCCACAAATTGTTGTTTCGGGTCTGGGTGTCATTGTGTATGTGAACTTGTATGTTTGTAAACGCACCCACGACACAGGAGAAAATCCTAGTGTGGGGCAACGTTTAAAAAAAAATCACAGTACATTTATTTTAATAAGATGGTTAAAATGGACAACTTCTATAGAAGTCAAGAAAATCGCGAACTTCTATAGAAGTGCTTGGCAGTGAAAAGGTTAAATAAATAACAAACTTTGACAACTTTGGTCATGCAAAATAAACGTGTATACAAAATTTCAGCTCAATCGGTTGAAGATTTATTTCAAAATTTAGTTGCAAGATTCCATTTCACATAATGTATTAATATTACATTACAAATTAATACGAGCTTGTAAAAAGAACTCGCAATAGGTCCTCTGGTCCTTGATGAAACTATCGACTGTGGTATACAGTATGTTAGGTTAAACGAGGGACATATTCAAACCCACAATAGTGTCTGCTCACATGAACCTAACAAACATATAAACGAAACAAAAACACTAATAAATAATAGACAGAATCATAAAAACGCTTACGGGTTACGGGTTACCGGGCTTACGCGCGCTCTATCCTTTTCGGCAAGATCGGCGCGTGTTTTGCAAAGCGACTTACTTAATGTAAGTACTGTTTCTGTTTACAAGTTCACTTGTTGCGCGCTCAGTGTTCATGGTGATGTATTTTATTTGACAATTACCTCAAAAATTTAGGTTATAGGTTTTTTACATATTCGGGACGAGAATCGATCGTACTATCTAACCTAAGACACACACTGTATAAAACTTTACGTACTGGGAAGAAAATCTTTTCAAATACAACACAAC